AAAACGGCAAGAGGCGTCCCGCGTTTGATGCACGTCCATAAAGAAAGAAAGCGACCGAAAGCAAATCATTCTTGAGCAGCAACGCTTGAAGATTTATGATCCGCGTGCGTGCCTGGCTGTGTTGAAAAAAATTGCCCTGTCAGAAATCGTTCCGCCTCTCCGTCACTCTCTACCATGGCCGACTGAGGCCAACGACGCGTCGTCGTATTTTGCCTCGCCGTGCGGCTCATCATCTCACGGTGTAATTTACGCCGGCAAAACCAGGCGTTTCACCACGACGAGCCTGCTCGCCGAGGCCGTCGATCAAAATCGGCGCCTCGGGCAAACCGAGGAACTTTTCCCTCCGGCCGGAGAAAGGTAGAAAAAGTCTTTCGATCGCCGGCTGGCTGATTCAGTCACTTCTCAGATGATACTTTCTGAAGACTGGCATCTAAGGAAATTCTCTGAAAAGAAAACAGACAATGAAAATGAAATTTCCTCACTTATTCTTGTGCGAAAGCCGCTCAAAGGCCGCGGAGGTTGAACATCATCGAAAACATGAACAAAAAATCAAGAAACAATGTTGATTTTCAGCGCATATGAAAGAAAATAAAAATATGCGCAAAAAGATAAATAAATAGCAGGGCATAAAACGATAATTTAAACTGTTAAAATCTATTAAACCACAAACCTATTAAACTGTCGTGTTATACCGGTCACAACCTGATAAAGGAAATTTTCCTTGATATTTAGATCTCAGTTAAATTTCAGATGTGTGGCTTTTCAAAAAGAGACGAAGTCGTCAAGCTACAGCCTAATCCCTATAACTCTGTTCCACGTTACTGGTGCTTATCTTAAGACAACAACAATATGGACATCAGCCAATCCTTTGGCCAGTACAAATACAATAAGGCCATCGGTCATCGGATTTTTCTCTGGAACACTGTTGCTGAAAATCTCAAATCTGCCATTTCATCTGCGCTCCTCGGTACCCACATTTTCGATAAAAAATGGGAATTAGCAACCGCTGGGATATCAGTTTCACTTGTGATTGCTGTAATAACCACAGAATTAAATAAAACGCAAAAGCAAAGTGAATGAGCTGAGATAAGGTGTGGTGAGGTAGTGGTAAGGAATCGGCTTCCAATCCCGGAGTTGTCTGGTTTAAGTCCTGAGGAAGGGCAAAATTCTTTCAACCGCTACTTCCATGGGCAAAGAATTTACCCCACGGCGCAAGGAGCCGAAAAACGGGTTGTTGCTACTGTCATCGTAATCTAGGGTATCAGGGTCAAGGACAGAGTACCCAGATTAATGATGTATGACGCTTTGGCTTCTCAGAATGGTTTAGATGATGTTAGAAAACGGGTAGCAAGTAGCTGACTAGCGAAACAACAGGAATAGAATGGTATTCCAACGTAATCATATCATAATGGGGTAGAGTTACAGCGTATGCTGTATGATGCGAACGTCTACTACGGCTGCATCTGATGGTGGACTGAATCAGCAGAGAGTTTAACCCGTGTGGTTGTAGTTGTCGCTGAAATCGTAACAGCGACCGTGCTGTCTCCCATTGAACTCTCTGCAGAACCCTGTCAGTGGCTTGAAAAGTTTACAGATATGATTCATATCCAGGACTGAGAAACATTTTTTATTTATGAGAATTTCATAACTTACAACCAACTGCAATTGGTTTACATCAATACTGCGATAGAGAATGACAGCAGAAGTTATTAGACTGCGCTGTACGGCCTCGTCCCACCGCCCTGTACTTCTAAACGCCCATGTAGGCAAGCTATGGTTCCATGAATGAAATGCAATGCATTAATGATATTGTACATTAGTAAGCTGAAATGAACAAAGACGGGTCCGTGCATCGACTTCGGATTATGACTGGAACAATATACGTCCAGTGACACCGCAGAAATGCTGGCTTAATCTGAACGCATTGTTAGATTCCTAAAACTTCATTATTCCCGACCAACTGCGGTTGATCGTGTTTACAAAAATCGTATAAATATTATGTTCAGCATTGACATAAATACTTTTTATTTACTGTTTAGATAGTTCAGTTTAAAGGAATGCATAGCCACCGTTGAGAACATTCAAAGATCCGTACTGATCTTGTACCTCGATTGACGAGGCACAAATTGTGCAGATCAGATATGTCATGGTTGTCCCTCGTATGGACTTGCGAGAGGTCACATGTACTGGGTAAACTGCTGTTTCGATGACTGAATCTTTCGCCAAGTCACACGGACGAAAAACCTTAAATCCCGTGAGGCTGAGCAGATTATTCGACCGATCGACGATCGTGGCCTCGGAAGTTCGAGGTTTTCGTCGGACCAACAATATAATATTACGAGGCAGGCCACTTCCGCAGGTGTGCGGCGTACCGCGTCTGGCACGGTCACATATGTTCCTACCCACCGCCGGGCATTTCACAGGCCGCCGCCATGTTTCGGGTAGCAGCGGTGTACGCTCACTTCATCCCGCCTTGCAGATGATTCGATCGAAAACCGTGCAACGGGCATGAACCAGGGTAACAGGCCAACGGATGGTTGGGGAGCAGTGTCACTGCCTGAACGGCCAGACCTTGGACACACAGCGGTCCAGAGACGGTCGCCAAGGACATTAAAACGATGACGGGAGATGCGCGCCGTCAACCCTCAGTCACACGGTCATGCGCGAACCTCGAAGTACGAAAAAATACTTAATTCGTTGCCTTCAGCAAACTCAACCAACGCGCAAATGACCTCGGTAGTGATGGCGAGGTCGATCGCCTGCGAATCATCATCCATCAGCAAGCGATGCCGGACCGAATGCTGACGTCGGTGCAGTGTCTGTGCGTGTGAAGAAGATGGAGGTCGGCGGTGGCGAGCCGGTTGGTCGGTGGTCAGCTCTGTCCATGGTGTACACCGTCGAGTGGACAAAAGACGAAACATTTCTCGTTAGGCTATGTCCTCAACTTGTGTCGTGAGTACCAACGGCATTAGGATCGGCAGAGGGACGGATGGTTTTGTCCCTTGTGCCCCGCACGGTCGCGACAAAAACTATTAATCTTCGGTACATGTTCAGCCATATGGTAATCGGAAAGGACAGCAAACAGCCTGCTCGTTCGCCGTTTAACCTTCAGTAGCCGACGACGACAACGATACTCATTTTTTGCCCTGGTCTCAATATACAGCTATTCTTTCACGAACGCTCGACATTCGGGTTTGATAACGTAAGGCGCACACGAACAGTT